GACAGACAGACAGACATACATACATGCATACACATACATACATATACATACATCTACACATATACATACATATACACATACATATACATATACATATACATATACATATACATATACATATACATATACTTATACATATACATATACATATACATAATATATATATATATATACACACACACCTACACACTGACGTAAGTATGTACTTACACAGTCAGCATTATCAGGTACTTGTATGTTGCTATTAATTGCAATTCTGCGTTTTGCAGTGTAGCTGTATTCTTACATGTGTACTTATGTAGATACGCACATTCATCCATGCATACATGCACTATACAGATGGCCAGAGATGTATGTAGGCACTGCGCTCTTTTCATCTCGAGCGGTGTCGGTCTGAGGGGCTCAAAGGTTGCATCATTTGGGGCATGAAGTGCGGACGGGTGCCTTCTCTTGCGGGATTCAGGCGTAATCCTGGCGTTGTCGTGATTTCCATAAGTTTAGCTTTCGAGGAAGGGTGTTTTGAACAGGAGCTTGCTAGCGGTGTGTGGATTTCTGTGCTGCCTCTGTCAGAGTCAGAAACCTTTCGCTCCATTCCCGACAAGCTACATCGCATGTTAACTTAGTTAGCCGGAGTAGGGCCGCATGCACGTTATCCCCATGTCGGTTATCATCATCAACAGTTCCAACTATTCATCACTTGTTTTCTAACTCCCCTGTCGTTCACGCACTCTGTTCGAGCTGTGATGTCGAGTGTGCTTGAAGGTTCATGGGTAATCACCAGGGAAGTGTGTCTAACAGTATGTTTTTCTTTGAAGCCCTTCTGCAGGCGCTGGTATTCTGGTCGCATGACAGGCAACCAACCCTAAGCCTAAACAAAAAAATATAACAGCAAAAGCTCGGTTTTGAGACTCCATAATGCTTTAATGAATCAAGGTTGCTTACAAAAAGCAGGGATCGTGGCCATTTTAACCGCAACCTCTACCAAACGCTTATAAAGTCTTATACACTATTAGATTTCCAACGGCAACCCTACGCCCTAACCCGTTTAGTTCCCCTTAGCATCAAAATAGCTCAAAAAGCCCTATGTAATAGGGTCTTTGGGCCCAGAAGCCTTAAAATATGAGTCCTTTGAGGGTAAGGGTTAAGGAGCTTCGGGAGTTTTTTTTCTCAGTTCTGTCATTCAGGAATGCGGCGATCCAACAAGACCGCCTCACCGTCAAACGCACTCGAGGGAGTGGCGACCTGGCGAGATTTGCCCAGTGCACTAGAGGCCTTGCCGGATGTTGGGTGCAGGCCTTTTAGGCTTACGGCTTTTGTTGCTGTACGGCTTCTTAATTGGGTGATAATCAACGGTTTAGGGTGGTTGTGGAAGGGGTTCAGGCATCAGGATTTCGATGAGGTCCCAGTAAACAAGCATGAAAAGCGAACCCCTGAGACATAAAGTCCTCAGTCCTCAGGAGAGACAGCTGAGTTTCCACCGGGACATGCTGTTGTCGTCTCGTCGGGCGTTTCCCGCGAGTTTCGGCAGGGATGCCCAGAGTGCTTGACTTTAGAGCAAGTGTAACATTCAGTTTTTAGCGTTGGAAGGGTAGTCAGGGTTTCAATAGTATAGGCCCTATAGGCGCTTCGTTCATTCAGTTCACTCATGTGTAGACGTTTCGGGGTATAGCACGTCTTGAGATTTGGTTATTCCTGGTTGAGATTTCAGGTTGAGGAGAAACCACCATTTAAGCTCCGGGCGGGTTATGGATGCGGAGGTTTGCATAGGATTCCTACTTATTGCTCTTATGATTATTGTTCTTGCTTTTCATTGCAAGTCCTATCAACACAACAATATTGTGATTGTACTATTATCAATAATATCATATTATTACCGTTCCCAGTCTTGTAACCGTTGTTACGAGAGCGGTCGTTATGCATCAGATGACGAAAAGGCATTGGATGCTCAGGGTTACGGGTTGGGGTGCTGACAGTGGGAGCTGATACGCTACCCCGAGTTGGAAGGGCGCGGAAAGCATGCCCGACTTGTGGCAGTGGATCTGTTGCTTCACTGATACCCGCGTTGGCATACCCTTATTACAACGAAATCTTTGAACCAAGCCATGTTCCCATGAGATTCGGCGGATTTCATCATAGAAGATGAGCTCCAGACCCCAAGCTTTGAGCCGTATCTCGAAAGGTTTGAAGTCTTGGACAACGGCTCGGTCTTCAAAGGAGGCCGCCGGATGATGTTTGGAGGTTTTTTGGGTGTTTTTGCGGTTCAAGTTTCAAGGGTTCCAGGCTTCAGGGGCTTTCGGTTTAGGGTTTAGGGTTTAGGGTTTAGGGTTTAGGGTTTGGGGTTTGGGGTTTAGGGTTTCGGGTTGGGGGTCTAAGGTTTAGGGTTTCGGGTAAGGCTCTACGGCTTTATGAGGTTGGAAGTTGTTACGGGGAACAAGGGTGCAATGCTGGGCAAGGATATTGCTTTCGAGGGTATATTAGGGCGGCAGAGGGGCACTCATTTTGTGAGCCCACACCGCCTCCACCCACACCCCAGTCACGACTCGCTTATTGATTTGAAAGTATTGAGTTTAATCCCAGGACTTCAAGGTGTGGGATGTGTCCGGGCTTGAAAGTTCAATGGGCAGTTGAGTTTTGTTCGGCAGTACTTATGAGTATCAGAACAGGACCAGAAGATTTACACCGTAGCAAGCAGGAGTCTTCTATCAGGTCCATGTCACACAGGAAGTTCCAGCATTCCTCCGCCTCCCCCTACGGGCCCCAGGCTTGTTCAGGTTTTGGTTTAGAGTCCAGGGCAGTCCTAGACTTTGAACCCTAAACCTGCACAGACTTTGTGCCCTTACCCACCACCACTGCAAGGATTTGAGGCCGGCTTTGCCAGCTGCCCACCCGAGGACAGTTGCATATATTCGCCCTAGCATTGAGGCCGTCTTATGTGGAGCTTGGTGACTTAGTGCTGGTTGTGCTGTGTCAGGACATGGATGCAAGTTCTGCTTCTTCCGCACGGGAGTGTCGCAACAAGAAGATGTCGACCCCTATTCTGATTGCAGTACCTCATACCCAAAAACCCTGTTCTATTTGGGGGTTTCCGAAAATAAGGGACCCCAATATAGTACCCTAAATAATAGGATCCTTATTATAAGGACCCCCAGAATAAGGTACCCCTAATTTTCGGAAACTCCCATTTGTTAAGGCCCCTATATTATTTATGTGCACCTCGGCATGCAGGGGTGCAGGTACATCGAGCTCCGGCTCGCACGCCAGCCCATGAATCCACAAGGCTTCGAGCCGGTTCAGTGTGTATAGAGGCTCTATAGGCTCTAATCCCCAAACCCTACATCCTAAATCTGAAACCTTAAATCGTAGCCCAGAGCCGAAGTCTCTCAAGTCATTAAAACCCAACAGTACAAGAGCTCTCCGATACCTCCGCTGGACTTCTGGAGCTTTAATGAAGGGGGTGGGGTTTGCAACCCGACAAAGTCCACGGGAAGGCCTTCTGAAATCCATGTCCCGGCATGGCGAGGAGCTGCCGCAGCCACTGCCAGAGACTGCGAGGGAGCTGCCTTGCGCTTATGCCGCTTGGGCTGAAATGCTGAGCTTTAGAACGGAATCACGAGACGAAGAGCGTTGTGGGGTCAAGAAAACACAAGATTTCGGAAGGCGTTGTTAGGTTTTCCACCGGGGGTTTCAGGGTCTCAGGGACAAAGTTCTGCTAACATCCGAAGCGGCGTGGAGACAGCAGACATGAACAGCAGTGCTGTGTATTTCCTAATCAACTTTTTGTTTGGGGACGCGTCTCGGTTTCCAACAGTTTGGGTTGCTTTTCCCGCGATATTCCGGAAGGGAACACTGGCAGTGCCAGCAGATGCGCCACAATAGCTCGGAGGTAGTCATGTTTAGCACCCAACATTAAAACGAGCTTGAAGCTTAAGAAGCCCTTGCGTGCCACAACCGTATATACAAAGGCTTAAAGCATCCCAAAGCTAACCTCATCGCTAGCCGATTCGCCAAGTCCTTATACTAGAAGCCCGAAGCTAGAAAAGTCTTAGTTACAGAAACCTCGCAGAACCTTGACTAACTAAACTCCTAAACCCCTACAGACTAAGATCAGCCTGTAAAACCTCATCGCGAACCCCGTCCCAAGAGCTGCGAAACTCTACAGGAGATCCATAAATGTCGACAGACAAGTGCTTAAACAAGCATCCAGCAGACAGAAACCCTAACCCAAACCCTAAACACTGTTCTCCAAAAAACACTTGAGTAGTTTTCTACATCCGGGTCCCTTTTGAGGTCCCCAATAAAAGTACGGCACCCATATAAAAAGGCCGCCCAAAGGGACCCTAGTTTAGAGAACTACCCATATAGACCCCTTATAGTACCCTTATAGAAACCCTTATGGATCCCTTTAAGGAACCCTAAAAAAGGATCCGGATTTAGAGAACTCCCCATGTGGAGCCTTCGATCCCTCAATGCCTCGGGCAGGTCTCGGATGCCTCAGGGCGGCTCGTGGTGCTGGGGGAGGACTGCTGAGTTTGAAGGTTAATTACTAGGGTTATATAAATAAGGTAACTCTACCTATAACTACTTATAAACCCAATTAAGATACTTATAACTGTACTTATTGAGTCCCATGAACCCCCAAGTAAGGTTTAGGTATGGTGGGGTTTAGGGTTGAGGGTTCGGTCTTAGGGTTTAGGGAAAGGTAGGGGTTTCTGGGTTTAGGGGTTCGGGCTTAAATTAGGGTTCTTCAGGCGGCAGTACGCAACTTAGACCTCAGAGCAACTCTGTTATTGGCGTTTGGGGCTGAGGGTTTACTCAGTTCTCTTTGAGGGTGGAACCGTTTCGCTGGGGGGATCTGCGAAACTTATCCCACCAGAACCAACTTTTTCGTAGGGTCCCGATAAATCCGGTTTAGAATAAGAACCTACAAAAAGCGGGTTTTGGAGGTTAAGGTATAGGGTGTCGGGCTTGGGCCTTTCGGGTTTGGGGTTTAGGGAGCCATATTGCCCTTGTGCCGGGCGGTTCATGGGTTCATGAAGCCCGATTTGGGTACATGGACCCTCAGGATAAACTACCCGCACATGTAACTGTGCACAACTAGCACTGACCAGCAGGGATAAAGTAGTTGCCGTAGCGGCCATGTACCCCTCCTGGCCCCACGCCCCAGGTTTACCCTAGATGGGCATCGAAGAATGCAGCCCAAGACTGACTTGCAGGAAGCCCACACAAACCCGAACCTCCATGAGTGATCTGTTCAGAAGTACAAAGCGTGCCCTATAGGAGATGACCGAGCTGCTTCCGTGGCGGTGCCTCGACTTGTTGGCGTGAGGTGTTCAGGGTTAGAGATTTTCGGCCGTGGGGTTTAGGGTGTGGGGCTTGCTTGGTTTAAGTTTAGGGCTTCAGGGTTGGGGATTCAAGCTTTAGGGCTTCGTGCTTAGGGTTTGGGGTTTAGGGTTTTAGGCTTGGGGCTAAAGTCGAGTTGAAGGTGACCTATCTAAGCAGTTGCAATTTAGTGTATCGCGTTTGTTCTGGGCATGGTCGGTTGCTCTGAATTTGAGTTCCGTGTGGGGGCATTCAGGGTACAGTCTGCATTGTTTTCAGGAGGGGGTGCAGGGCATGAAAGTGACATAATTAGTCAGTCTACTGCAGGACTGAAACCTTCCCAGACCCGTCGGAGGATCCGAAAAGTAGATCCTTAAGGGAGTTCCTACAAATTACTCTTTTGTAGTACATGTTAAGCCCCAAATCGGGAAATCTACTTTTGAGATTCTCCGGGGTTCTGATTTCGAGCATAGACAGAGCGAAGGCACCGACTCCTCCCCAACGGCACCATCGTGGACGTCCTCTGCAAGAATGGCGCCTTGATGAAACCGGCACACTATATCGCACTTGATCATGTTCATGCCTTATACATTACAATAGACAAGAATATGCAGTCCACTTAAAACCAGTTGAAAATTGCGGCCTTTGACAATGGGAAATCCAGAGAAAATTCTGAACCCATGATGCCATTTTTCGAAATGTTCAATCGTTCGTCTTTCCCGTGGAGCCCCAAACCTACATGTTACATGGATTTACATCATTGCGCCGTATATAATCTGTATGTATGTATATATAGTCTTGTGCAGAGCCCTTAGGAATCCGGCTGGGGGCTTCTAGCAGTCGCTTGAAGTCGAAAGTCCTCAAAGCAAACGCCTGAAAAGTGTTATTTCATAGTACATGGTATCCATCGATTCTAGTCGCGAATAAGTAGCGAAAAACCCGTTGCTAGCTAACTATCAACAGGGCTAGGCTGCATGGTGAGCTTGCGCGGCCTTCGAGGCTTGTATGCTTGAGACTAAGGGTTCGGAAGGTTTTGGGGGTGCGGTTCAGACTCAGAGTCTCCATGTACGAGGGTCTTCGACGGTTTAGGGATCCAGCTTCGGTTCGATTCCTCTTGGGTTTCTTTTTTTGGGGTGTTCTGGTATGCGAATTTTTCCAGTTTAACTAATGCCTGGCTGTCATGGGTGCCGTTCTTTGGCGTTTGGGAACTTGCCTTCAACTGATACCACAAACCCTGGACCCTAAACCCAAGCCCTATAGCCTAAACCATGAGCTCAAAACCTGTAAACAACTCATATCCTGAACCCCACAAGCTGAAATCGAAAAACCCTACTGGCTGCCACAATAGAAATCCTTAGTCCTAAATCCACTGCCGAGCCGATGCTCTAAAGCAGAGGAAAGTTCCAAGTCCTGCTCGACGGCAAAATCGCTGCTGACTGGGACATCCAGGTGCCCGACGATCTCGACCTGTACCCTCTTGTGTCGCTGGACCGAGCTGAGTTAGGCCTTATGTTTTCAGGGTTTAGGGCTCAGTGCGGGCCGAACTACCTTCGTCTTAGCCCACCATCTGCCCCTTACTAGACCCTAAATACCTACATCCAGGGCCCATATACCGAAAGGTACAAAGAGGGTCCTGCATTTGGAAGTTTCATGTGTACCAGCTGAAGAGTTCTGGTTTATCCGTTTGCTTCGTTTTCTTGAAGCTTCCCGCAGACTCCCAAGCCCAGTAGTTAAGATATATCCCTAAACTGACAACAGGAACTCAAACAAGATTTAAGGCATCTTCCTTAAAAGGTTTTGGAGTGTCTGAGTTGCATGGACCATGATTTGGAGCTTTGCACTGTGTGCTGTTTCAGAGAGCCGTGGTGTGATCCTGGGTGCCAGAAACATCCTGGTGTGTCTTCTTCGCTGAATACGGCAGCGCGTAAGGTTCGGGGTTGAATTCGAGAACTGGGCTGAAGATCTGGAATCTAGGGGTTGTCCTAAACCCGAAACCTGCGGAAAATCTCTAAATGAGAACTTTAGCTCACTTTAGTAGGTCACTTTAGCTGAAGGTTTCGAAGGCCGTGCTCTGTAAGGCTTGGAGGTTCATGTACGGTCTTGAGATCAAGGACGGATGGCATCAAGAGATTGAATACAAAGGAGATAGATTAGTAAATTACTGTAACATGCGGCTTACTGGGTAGAGCTTCTGGGCCGCACTCGGGAAGTTTCGAATGTCAGCAGCTTCAGCTCTTGAAGTAGTTGTTGGATCACCCGTGACATCCGCGACTACTCTGTCCGGATGTGCACCCGAAGCGCCTTCTCGCATAGAATCTGTTGCTCAGGTCCGTCTACGGAACGACGCAGGCATGGTCCTCCCATACTGCATCTTCTGGTTTTGTTTGAGACAAGTTCGTTCGACACCAACGTTTTTTTTGTTGCGTGGTTGGTGGTGGATGTTGGTGGCGTGAGTGGGTAGTGAACCGTCACAGGCTGTGTTGGTCGTCCTGCCTTGTGCGAAGTTTTTGGTTTGGATGTTGTTGGAGTTGGTCCCCGAAGACTCCTACACAAGATCTTGCTCATGGTCCGCTTGCAGACTTGCCCCCGCGTTTGTGTTGCTACCTGTTGTTGCAGGTATCCACGTGCGTGGACTTCAGCATGTATGCGTGTATGCATGCATTCAGGCGTGCACGTGTTTACGTTTTGTGTATATGTACTACCACTGTGTCTATGTATGTGTGTGTGTGTGTGTATGTACATATGTACATGAGTACGTACATGTACATAAGTACATGTATGTGTCCGTGCATATCTGTGCCTGTTCGAGCTCGTGTGTGTGTGTGTGCGCGTGTGTGCGTGTGTGCGTGTGCGTATGTGACTGTTCATACCATTACGCCTATGTTAAATATGCATGTGTACACTCTTCCGGGCGCGATATTTGCAAGGTGTCGAACTAAGCCTTCAGACTCACCAGAAGACCCCTGCAGGCCATCAAGCTATTGCCGACCGGCATCGATGCGAAGAAGGCATAGGAGCCAGGAGGCTTAGTGGGGAGTTGAAGGGCCAGGCCTTCTACTTCTATACGCGACTCGAGTTTGTTTTCTGTTCCAGTCTTGCCTATGGAGGGCAAGAACATGTAGGAGCCGATGATGAAGGCTACACTGCACTTTCCCCTCCGGCCTTAAAGTATTGGCGCACTAGACTTGAAGCCTAAAGCCCAAGCCCCAAGAGCGCTTTGAACCCTATATTGTTTTGCGCACGTGGCAGGCTACGCTTCGGAGTGAGGCTTCAGGCTTCTAGGTTGGATAGGGTTTAGGGTGTATTTGATGGTTTATGGCTACCTGCAAGTAGGGATAGATGTAAGGTCTTAGAGCTATGGCTGCATTTGACCGTACTGAATCAGATTGCTTGGCAGGGCTCTTTGCTTCAACCTCACTTCTGCATAGTTACCGAGCAACGTCTACACCAGCAACCTACAGCCTATGTCAGTTGTTCTAGCCCCTGTCGCAGCCGATACGTCCCGTACAGCTTAACAACCTTGCCTGAACCCTCTCTGCAAGTCTGCTGGTGAAAGCGGCAGCCACTTGGGTACTTACACTATAGCATACCCCTTCACACTGACTAATCAGACCCCTAGCTTAATTGCACACATATGTGTACACTATATGTGCATACATATGTAGATGATGTATGGTGTAAGGTACATAATACAAGTCATCGTCCACCAGCAGGGACCCAAAGGATGAAACGCAAATGGTAGCATTGTACTGACGGTAGGAATAATTGCAACACGAGTAGCAATACCAGTTTTATCATGAACAAAACATTTTCTGTATCTAGCTGAACTGAAATAAGGATGCCACAGGTATGATCTAGAAAACAACAATACAGAAACCCTAAACCCTAAAC